TCTGAAGACTGATGCTACTTGTGCTGAAGACTGATGAAAACGCATATAAAACCTGACAGTACCTTCAATAAAAAACAATGATGGGAACAGAGATCTTGCCAGAATAGCATACGACAACAATGATATTCGAAAAGTTGTTTCTTAAACTCCGCCCTCGTAAAACAACCACTCCTTGGCTGCTACAGCCGCTGGAAGCGACACAGGTGTCAGTACGCTTATTAGCGTAGACCCACAAAAAATGATCTTCCTCCGAGAGTTGTATCTTTGAGCGTCAAAAGCATGTATCTGTTGTGATGGGATTCGACACCACTGACGCCCCATTTGGTCCATTTCCAGCGTGTATCTGATCTGTAGAAAATGAAGTGAAGCAATAAATATGAAGGCCAAATTAGTAAGATGACAAAATGCAGATAAACTGAAAACTGTATGAACAAACTTGCTAACCTACCTGGGATTTCTTGACAAACTAAGCAACTAGGATGGACGGCTTTATTCGAGAAGATCGAACAAGGACTGAAGTAGCTGAAGGTCTGAATACTCATAAATAAGAAAACAATCTAGATAAGCAGAACAAATTTTTCGTGGTTGTAGGCTGTGGTGGACTTAGGTCTGAAACAATGAATACTAAATTAAGACTGAACAGTGAATACTAACTAACTTACCTATGTGGTAACACACAAAACTGAACAAAATGACACCTAACACTGAAACTAATAACATAACTAAAAATGACACTAACCCCTGAGAGTACTTAAAATGACACTAGTGTGGGAGAACTTGTTGAGTAAGTGTGGGACAACTTTGGCTCGGAGATGTGAAATATAACATACAGGTACAAAAATAAAGGTAAGAAAATGATCAGGACTCATTGGAAAATGACAGAGTGAGTAAGCACTAGGGACTCAGACTGATTGACTAAAAACTGATAGACTAAAAAAGGAAATGAATGCAACAAGTAATGACTAAATGAGAAAAAGAAATCGAAGAAAAAGCTAAAGTTTATATAATTCTATCAGCTAAAAGGACTAAGTTTGTATCTGAAGTAGGAAAAAACTGAATTCATACACAAACTAAAGAAGAAATGAAATGTTTAACTGAACAGGACAACTATCATGTTATCATAAAACATACATGGAGGTGTTGGTAATATCCACATCATAGCCTTGTAAAAATGAGTGATGAATGAAAAATGAAACATAACAAGAACTAGATTGTAGTGATAATTGAATAGCTGACCATGACAGTGAACTAGACTATAGTGATAAAAAAAATTTGAAACAGAACTATAGTGATAAATTGAACATATTCAAAACTAAGTTACCACTCAGCTTTCAAAATCCTTAGACAACCAAACCCCAAAATTTAGACGCGATGAGCGACGGTCAGCGCAGTCGGACCTGCAGATTGGGTACGCCATCCCCGTTACATATGTAGCAGAGAAAAAAACTATTTGTTAGCAAAAAGATGACTGAAAAACTAAGAACAGAGACTCACCAGATAACTAATTTAAACTACAGGAATTATAAACACATATCAAGTCTAACAAATTTAAAATGAATGCTGAAAATACAGGAATAACATCATAAACTGAAAATAATAAGCTGAATGGAAACTAACTAGTTAGAATAATAAATGACTTAACTTAAAACTGATAGACTAGAACAAACACTGACCAAATAACTGAAGAGAACTAAAATGAGACACTTAAGATACTAAACAAACACCGACCAAATAACTAATCACTTAATATATAGTTGAAGATAACTAAAACTGATACTTTAGAGTACTGATGACTAAAAACTGAAAATAATCTAGCAAAAAAACCAGTGCAAAAAACTGAAAACCGAAAACTAAAAACATAGGACTTACAGGAACATAAGGTTCAAAACAGAAATAATCATCTACTAAAAGACAAGACTCATGAGAGATAGGAGTGAAGAAAGATGCAAATGATAACTAAATATGATAAAAATGAGGACTGATACTATTACCAAAACTAACATAAGACTGAGAAGGCAAGCTTACAAACTGAGGAACAAAAACACCAATGGTTGGAACAAAATTATAGAAAGGTACTGAAAACGGAAGACTAGACTACAAAAACACTGAAAACAAAGATTCTAATGACACAGAAAACTGAAGAACTAGAGATAGAGAGAAAAGAGGGCTGAATAAACAAGACAAAAAAGGTGGTTGAATAGTAAGGTGACTCAAGAAACACTGAAAAGTGAAGGATTGAAGACAGAGAAAAGAAATCTGAATAAATAAACAATTACTAAAGACTGAAGAAAGATGACTGAAAATATATATGAAATAGTTACTGATGACAGGATGAAGAAGAGATGTAATGGGCAAGGTATGCAAACAGAGGAATGAAGCAATTCCAACAGGACAATAGGGACCCTGACCACTATATGGCGCAGAGTGGAGGTGACAGTTTGACTGTCGAGCTATTGAATCCTACTATAGCCTGACAATTTGTCTAACCTCCCTGATTGGATAAGTGATTTTCAGGCATTGTAGTTAAAAAAATATGAAGTGAAGTTTGCAGCAGTTGAAATTCATTTTAAACGATAGCCATTGCCAGAAGAACTAAACAAAAAAGTAGGCCCTTTCGCCTTTGAGACACATCGATCTTTCACAACTGGCGCGCAACCTAGCCGACCCGTCTCCTGGTAGATGTTGATTTCTTCGCGTGTGTTCAAAGAAACTAATTTAGGGGTGCTCTGGTTTTTTTACTGTTAGGCTGACTCCTGAAAAAATTGACTTCGAACACACCTTAATTGGAGGCACTGCAATGAAAGAAAAATCGTTGTCTACTGAAAAATGAACACCCATGAACCTGCACTACAGCAAAAAAGAAACCTACACCGAAAAGCAACCAGTGTTCATGCAGGAAAAAGGCCTAAACCTACAAAAAGCATACTGAAAAATTATAATAGCCAATACATAACAGGTAACGGGAAAAATTCAGATCTGTCTGTTTTAGCGTGAATAAATCACGCCATAAAATAACCGTGAGCTTGCTCACGAAAATCGGGCGTGAGAAGCAAAACCATCTCCATAATGAAGGAAATATTTAAGCTGAATAATGTACAGAACATGGTAAAAAAAACTGAATAATCTAGTACCAAAAGCTAGCTCTCATTCACTAAACTGAAAAATGATAAGTACAGAAAATATAGATTGTGCATGTAACATGTTTTCATCATGGAAGATGCTACCGAAGAAAATAGGATTCAGAACATTTCTTCGTCCATGCTTACATCAACAGAAAGCAGACGAAAATGCCGCCTGAACCATTACTGAACATTGCATAGACCCTCCCACAAAAAAATAAAATCACCAGCAAATGCCTAAAAAACTCAAATACCTACTTCCACACATGCAACACCTGTGCAGTTTTTAAAAGATGCAGAGGAGCCGAACCGCAGATCTACATCCAACACTTCGTAGTCAACTTAGGGCATCTTCAATGGTTGTAAGATAGTTGTTGGTAGATTTTGCCACATATGATTTTTGATGATGTGTCATACAATAAATGAGGGAAGAGAGAAATATTGTATGTACATGAACCAACACCCTTTGCACAAGCTCCAATGTAGAATGAGAGAGCACCTTATTTGTTATTTCACATCCTATTGGGCAAACTACTCCCTCCGTTCCAAAATATAGCGCGTCCTCGGTTTCCGTGCTTCAACTTTGACCATTAATTTAATCAACAAGACCGACTGCGGTGGGCGAAAAAATTATACCAATGAATTCGTATTCAAAAAAAGTTTTTAATTATATAATTTTTGATCCCGCCGCAGTCGGTCTCGTGGGTTAAATTTATGGTCAAAGTTGAACCTCGAAAAGTGTGGGCGCGCTATATTTTGGAACGGAGGGAGTACATACAACCCATTGGAGTTGTTGTATATTAAGGTGTTGGTTGATGACATGGAATATTTTATCAATAAACTAACATACAAACTGTTGAAGATGCCCTTAGTGGAATGTTTTGTTTAGTGGTGAAATTGACACTCAATACTTCTTTGAACCGGAGATCTAGATCTAGAGAAACAACGAGCCGGACTTGGCGATGAAATTTGGGGATTGACTGACACACACGCATAGGTGGCTGCAAAATATTTAGGATCGTTTCTCATGAACCACTCAAAATCGCAAATGTGAACTAAGCTATCGCAAAACGTTCCTACCCAAAAACCAGCTAATTGAACAACCCCTGCGACATGGCTCTATGCCCGGCGACCACGACGATGAACTGAATCAAACACAGAAAGAGGCAGATCAGATAGAACAAACAAAAAATTGGACAAACCTAGGACAACAGGGAGACGGAAGTATACCTTGCGCCCCACCGACGCCGGCAAATACTACCTCCCCCAGCATGGGTGCTTGTTGGCGGCGAGCATGACGGGGAGCTCCGCTGAGTTCCTCTCCAGCCCGCGGCCATCTCTGTGACGCACGCCTCCAGCAATCAAGGCCCACGCTCCATCTCCGCTTGGCCGACCAACCGCTAATCACCGGTGAGGAGGCCCCTTCCCTCCGCTGTCTCCGCCCGCCTCGGCCAACCCCTTCCAATCCCCTCCCCGGCTAGGACACATCGACCCGGTTCACGCGAGACTGAGGGCGTACGACGCGCGGAGATTCGCGTGGATCGGACGGACAGAAAAACGACCTGAGACGAATTTAAAAACAGATGACTGAAAAATAGTAAAACTGTAAAATTATTGTAGCTAGTCCACTAGTGTACTCCTATCTTGATTGATGATTTCTTAACGCCTGTGTACATCGCCTGCGTTTCAGCTGGAAACACATGACCTTTCTTCTTTATGTTTGACCAGTATACTGCTCCTGTTGTCCTTTCTTGACTTTGTCAGCATTTAGGCCTAACCTGTATAAAACCCCTCACAACGTCAACGTGCATGCTTCTACCCGAATACCCAAGTACCCAATCACAAACAACAGACGTACACGTATCACCATAAGCTGCAAATATGTCAGCTCTAGCTCTAGTACTAGTACTGCTCTGCTCGGCCACGATCATGGCGGCGCCGGCGCCGGCGGACGTGGAGTCCCACAGCTTCCCCGTCTTCAACGCCACCACGACCGAGAGCCTCTGGGTGGCAACGAACATGTCCGTCGTCACGCCGGCAGCGCTCCTCTTCAGGCCAGAGCAGCTGTTTCCGGAGGTCAACGTGTCCGAGGGGTTTCTGCTGCTCCCCAAGATGGTCGACGTCTGGCGCGCCGGCGCGGGCGGGTTGCCGACACGGGAGGCGTCCTTCAACACGAGCTTCACGGTGGAAAGCGCCGCCCCTCCCGTCTCCTTCGTCCTCCTCCTCGACAGGTTCCCGACGCTCAACAACCCCCTGGGCCTCCGTGGCGCTAACGGCTCGGCCGCCGGTGCCGCGCCGAACGCCACGGACGGCCTCGCCGCGGTCGAGGTCGGCACGGTGAGGTCGTACGCGCCAGAGTCTCCGAGCGTCGGCCTCAACGTCACCGTCACGCCCAACGGCACCGCGGCGCCTGGCCGCCGCGCCGTGTGGGTCGAGTACAACGCCGTCGAGCACGTAGTGCGCGTGTACGTCGCCGCCGGTGGGGAACCGAGGCCAGCCAGAGCGCTCCTCGACGCGCGGCTCTCCCTCGCTGGCCAAGGCACCACGCAAACCGCGTTGGTCGGCTTCTTCGCCGCCAGAGTCCGCGACATCTTCGTCGGTGTTCGTGATTGGGACCTCGCGGTGGACAGGCTCGACACCGACGGCAAGAAGAAGGGGACGCCGTGGTGGGTGATACTGATCGCGGTGATCGGGTCCGTGGCCGCCGCCGCCGCCATCGTCTCCCTGGTAGTGTGCTCCTTTGTATCGAGGCGACGGGCGCGCGATGTGGAACCCAAGCAATAGTCTACACAGGCTTGGGATGTGCGTGTAGACGTCTGTCTGCAAGCTACTCTGTTTTTATGTTATACTAGTCCAATACCCGTACGTTGCCACGGACGATAAAAATATATAATCAATTCGTTGTTTACATTTTGCAGTGCAACATATAATCAGTTCGTTGTTTACATTTTGCAGTGCATGCACGTGCAGTTCAAATCATGCCATGTTATTTTCGGTTGCAAATCTTCATCTTTCTTTCACATCTCATCTCAGCTCATCACTTGGCTCCGCTCCACTCCACGTCTCTCCGCTATAGCAAGCAATTATTCATCACATCCTATATATCTCCATCCCGCTGTGCATGTTCACATTTCTCTCTGATGTGTCCCTTCTTCGTCCAACCTTATTTGCTTCGTTTCTCAAACTACAAGTGCCTTTTGGCACCATAGATGTCACTTGGCAACAATTAGCAACGCCCTAACGCATCAATATAATGAAAACAAATACAATTCGATGAGATGAGCATTATACGATAACAAGATTGACACTATGACATTTAACGGCAATGAGCCGCTACACCACACCCGTAGGCAGCATTTAAATCTTACAATTGTGCTCCACTAGCCTCGTCATCTCACATTTTATTCATCGGACAGAATTGTACATCTCGAGAGGAATCTATTTTTGGTTAAACTGGAAGGATGAACCTATGTGCAGTATCACAAGCATAATATACCAATAAGAAACACACAAATGTTTTGTTGCCAATCAAGACAAGGAAAAGGAGATCATAAATTTGCTGAGCATTTTCCAATTTGATGTCATATCACAAGTTCTGAATTGTGGAGCATTGACGAGATAATTTGGTCCGGTATGATAAGGATCAAAATACAAAAATTGTGCCATCAAAATTTTTCAATGAATACACAATAAATAGAATGCTACATAACACATTGTTGAAGTAGCAAGAAAACATTCGCAAAAAAAAAAAAGTAGCAAGCAAACATTAGCTTCGTCTTCATGTACAGCACATTCATTTTACATTCTTATCTACAGATGGCTACTCCAACAATCTTGAGTCATAGGGACAAAAACGTAAGCCTGACCTAGGCAAAAGGCGAGAACGCATCTTCAGATTATTGTCTTACCTGCAGAAAACAGGTAGCAGGATACATGGTCAGGCCAAAATGAATTATCGAAACACTGTCAGGTATTGCCTCTTTACAAAGAGTACAAACATCCTAGATATTTCAGAATGACCGCCGCCTTGCAGCTCCTAGAAACAATAGAAACCGGTAATATTAACAGTCATGTCAACAATAAGTATTCCGATCGATGGGAAGGATATTTCCTGACATCCAATTATATGGCCAAGTCCAAACCAATTAATGACACTGGATTCAGCTGAGACATGCATGGATACTGTGAATTTAAATGTACCCGTTCGAAGCTGGTTTCAGCATGGAAATGCATGGATACAGGGAAGGATTACACACCTATTTATGGTTTTATCAAGTAACTTCATGCATCACTGTTAGTTACCAGGCACCAGCACTCTCATTTCATGTATCCTTTAGATTCAGCTATGGATAGAACTTCGAAGGGCACTGGTAGAAATAGGCATAGGCATACATTGAAATCATAAAACTATTTGGAGATAATACAGAAGCAATATATTTATATATGTGTCACGATATCTCATCAACACATATTTGTTTCCTGATTTTTTCAGCTGCATCTTTGTTTTCTAGTAACATATGAACCCATGTTTAGTTGGTAATGGAACAAAAAGTATATCTTGGTTAAAAATACTACAGTACAGAGGTAGCTCTCACTGACAATTTAGTACTAATGATACATGCCTCACCAAACTACGTAACCTTCATAATATGTTTGCCGTTGTATTTTCAATAATATATGCTACAAATTATTGGTCGAAATTAGTATTCGACCAATGTACACTTTCAACGGAGGAATTTTCATTCTAATTTGTTAGCACACAAAAATCAAAACTACACAATATTGGATATGTAGGCTGCTCGTGTATAAGTGATTGAGAAAAGGATCTACACTAACTATCTTGCAAATTCTTCGTTCACCTACGCCTGTGCATCATCCAGCACCCCAACGACCAGCCATAAAGTGAACACAAATTCCTCGCAGAAGAAGCCGGGTTGTAAAGAAAAATCAGTATGCTCCTTGTCCTGCACATAATCCAGCATTAAACAATTAGCGTCAGGTCAAGCACCATCCCAAGATGAACATCAAGCCTTATGTTGTGACTTGCCTCACTACACCATGATCAAAGTTTACGGCTGAAATACCATGATCATTCGAAAACACATCTCTCGAAGGAAAAGAAACATCTTACATTTGACCGGGAGATTGATTGATATGGTGTATTTTTTATGGATTTCCCTTCCTGAAAATGACGAACACTTCTTTTTCACTAACTATGAGTCCAGTCTGAGATTGTCTTTTACTATACATACGCAATACTAATTTGCTGGGGTTCAAAACCTCGTGGATATTAATTTGCTGGGGAGAAGAGATTGAGGGGCTGATCGTCATTGAACTGGACGTCTGGACCAGAACGGAGTTCACCTTTTTTCCTTGACACCACCGGCTCAATTGTCCCATGTGAGCATTGTGGGTCATGACGGACGCGGTCGCAAGCATAGATCCTGATCCTGACATCGGTGTCATTGTCTCTGCCGCGGGTGAAAGGGGGCGATGTGGTAGTCGGCGAGGGGAACTGGCCACGGGGTTGCCATCCCTGAGACGTCATGGCGGAGGAGATGGACGAAGGTGTGACAGAGTTGGAGGAGAAGAGGCGGTGCTCCGGGTTGAGCTTGCCAAGGGCATAGGCCGTCGTCGTGGTCGCCATCGGGGCATCCGAGCGCAGCCCCTGGCGGCGGGCATAGGTGCGAGGTGGCGCCGTGGTGGAGGAAGATGGGGCAGGCTAGGGCGCGGGTGGCGGCGGCATCATGCAAAGAGAGGAGGGGAGGTTGCGGTGGATGCGCCGGAGTGGCGGGCGCACATGCGGCGGCGACATTCTCGTCAGAGAGACAGGATCCGGATAGAGAATTGGGAGGAGATGCCGCGAGGGGCGTCTATGCGTGCGTGAGTGGATCGCGGCAAATCGGCAGTTGCCCTTTGGCCGAGTCGTGCATCCGTAAGTGGGCTTGTTTTACGATTTTCTTTTCTCTCGTCCGTATTCCGCTCAACAGCATGCGCAGGGCCAGATCTAATCGTAGGGCATTATTTTTGCACGACAGCAGGCGGACAGCTCCTTGACGCCGCGGCGTGCCAGCGCGTCGGCTTCAACGTGCCGGGACAGAGCGGCCAGAGCCCTGATGTAGATCACGTACGCAAAAGGATCCATGGGAAAGGTGGCGAGGAGCGCCTCCCCGACGGCCCGGACGCGCTCCACCTCGCCGCCGTTCTTGATCTCGAACTCCATGTAAGCCCTCCAGCCTAACTTGGACCTGAGGGGGCCTGCGCCCACCGCGCCCACCGCTGGAGCGCGCGCCGCTGGCTGTCGACGTCGCCGAACTCGCGCTCCGTCCGGAACCAGCCCCACATGTGCGCCTCTCCGTCGGGAAGTGCGGCGAGAGTTCGCTCGTAGACGGCGCGGGCGGCCTCGATTCCGCCGCCCTCCTCCAGCTCGAACTTGACGAAGCGGCGCCACAGCTCATCGTTCCCCGGGTCGGCCGCCGTGCCAGACTCGAATTCCGCTCGCTTGGCCTCGACGGACACCTCTGTGATCGCTTGATCTGCCATCGTTGTGTCGCGACTAGTCGATCGGTGGTCGACCCTTGTTTGTGCAATTTTTCTGTATGGCACTTCGTTGCTATTTATGTTGATGGATTCCATCGGTAGGCCGTGCTTCCAATACCAAATCAGGTCGGGTTCGGCGGCGACGTGCGATTCAGATTCCCATATCAACTCGGGCCGAACTGCTTCATCACCGTTTATTTTGTTCCTGCACGAATCACTGAACGTAGGCTGACACGTCATTGTTTGCAAGCGTTCGGACTGGATTGCGACTGACCGAACGAAAAGGACCACGCCTTATCCACTCGCAGTCCCACCTCCCGAAAAAGGTCCATTTTAAACCTTGAACTCATAAAAATCAGGCCGATGAACTCTAAGAACAACTTTAGTAGACTCTGCATCCCGTCCTGGGTCATAAAATAACCGCCAAAGTGCGGGTCGGGACGGGAAAACCTGCCCGATCAGACCCCGCATTCTGCGCCAGCCCGCAAATATTTTTGTGGGACGCATCAAATCTTTTCCCCCAACCTCTAGTTTCACGGGCTGGGAGGCCGACCCGAACTCAACCCTTATCCGTAGCGAGATTTGGCGGGAGGGTCATTTCCGCGCGCCTTTTCCCGCTCCCCTCACCCTTCATCACCATTGCCCCGCCTTCCCACGCTCCGGTGCTTTCTCCCCGGTCGTCCCTCGCCGCCATGGACGACTCCCTGTTGTCCCCCGTCACCGTCGAGGTCGCGCACGCTCCTTCCCCTCGGGCGGATCTCGTCGCCGGCCATGTTGGCCCCGCCGCCACCCAAGCTAACGCCGCGCCTGCCCGCAAGCGGCAGGGCAACGTGGTCGTGCAGGGCGGGAATCCGGCTGCCCCCGCCGCGAAGGCTTGCACTCTGGGCGCCAACGCCGCAGCGCAATCCCGGCCGGCGCGGAGAAGGTCGGCAAGGTCGCCGACGTAAAGCGGAGGAAGATTCCGGCTACAAAGAAGCCGCCTTCTTCATCCTCTCACTCCATCCCGGAAAGAGGTGCCCCAGCGATGCTGTTCAACGGTGTTGCTTCCCCTGTAAGCTAGGTGCTCAACGAAATGGTCGGAAGGTATGCGTCTTCGGTCATGGCGATTTCCTTTCATTTTTCGCCTTTTTTGCGATAGCTCGTGACTTGTTATTGTTCACTATAGCGGTGGTTTAAACAATGCAACTGCCGAGTTCGTGAACTTGTTGGACACCAACGCCGTTGACATTGATCAAGCCCCGTTC